GTGTTTGGAGAGGGACACAGCTGAGTATAATCCATGCTAGTTTGGCTGGCAAATTTAGTAGTTGTGACCATACACATCCCATGTGGAAACAGCTCCAGGTGGTGAAACTAGTGGAGTTCATGGCATTAGTTATTAGAATTGAGCTGATTTTACCCTAAAAATGGGGGAAATCAAGAGGGAACCATGAATACAAAACAGGAGCCCAATTCCTTGCCAGCTCCAGATCTCCAGAGGCTGGAAGTGCTGTGATGGGGCTCTGTGACTGCAGTTCCTCAAACCCTTGCCCCTTTGAAGCATCTAACTTGACAAGCAGAGCCAGAGAAACAGAACGATTCCAGACTTCTTCTGAAAGACTCTGTGTGCCCTGAGTCTGCACTAAACCCAGGTTTTGCAGATCCTAGCCTTGTGGAGCCTGAAGACTGCTACCTGTAAGTGCTGTTTTGAGGATATTTTTGGGGTATATGAAATACAGGCAAAGTTTCTGGCATCAGAGGAAGGGAAGACCTGGTGCAAAGAAGCACAAGGAGTGCTTTGGTTACATCATGGCATTCTGTGACATTGCAGTTCTATCCAGAAGTCCCAAAAAATGCCTTGCTACAGAACCAAACTAGGGACTGCTAGTGGAGGGAAAGATCTGAAGAGCAGTGAAGCAGCTGCAGTACACTAGGATATCACCAGTCCAATGAAAGTGAGGTCCTGATTAATGTGAAACTAGGTTTGGTGCTTCTCTGGGCTCCTTCCTACTGGGACTGGTGCAGACCTGCAACTGAGGTCCCACAGAGAAAGTGTACAGGCAGAAGAAAAGGGAGAAGTCTTGGCCGGGATCCAGCTGTCAATGGGAAGAGCACAGCTGAGTGCAAAGCCAGTGAAGGAGAAGGAGGAAGATGGCACAGCAGGATCCTTGGTCTGCCACTGAGCGACTCTCTCCGTGTGAGCAGCTCATTTCCCTGCTCTGTCACTCTTCTTATCTGCACAGACAGCCTGTTCTATAGGCCAGGACCAGGTTTCTGCAACACAAGGCACGAAGGACTCTTGAACAGCTTAGAAGGTACTGCAATAATACAAAGCAGAAATTGCAGCCAGCAGACAGAGAAAATAGAGCACTTCCAGTCAGCAATTTTGTTTCTGGTGAAGTCCCATGCCACATGAAGCTTTGAGCTACAGCTGCTGCAGTGTTAAGTACAGAAAAGGGAGGTCTTTCTGGAGTCTACTTTGAAATTTAAAAAACTGGGTACAATTTCCATGAAATGAGGGATGGATTTAGCTCATTTTTCATCATGCTCTAATTACCAACTGCAGTGAAATATTCTAAGATGATGTAGCTCAGACTCCATCTTATTTCTGGATCTTGTTCCAATTAATTCCCTCTACAGTTTACAGCACCTAAATGAAATGCACTGAGCATCAGGCCATGAGTTACCTGGTCTTTCTCCCTTGGTACCCTGGGCCAATTGCTCTTCATTGCAGCTACTGCAGTGCTGTTTCGCCAGTCTTAGGATGATGGTATTAATACTCACTTGCTATCCAGCAGTTTTTTGAGACAGCCTGTTCCAGTGTGAAAAGCTTTTTGAGGTCCCAGGTCATGCTACAGAAGTGAGAACAGTTATTTCTTCTCTTTCATATAATTTCTCTGTGGCATGTTGTATTTCTGAATGCTGGAAATGGCAATGAAAAGAGGGTGTCTGTTCTGCAAGAAAAAAAGTAAGAGGAAGTCTGTTTTGAAGGAGGAAAAGAGGAAGGCTGTTTGAAGGAAAAAAGGAACACATGGGAGAAAGGAAGGGTGAATGTGAGCGTTAAAGCACAGATTCCAGTGCAGGTGAGAAGCAGTCTAGTAATCCAGGTTGTCAATCCCTATCCTGAATAAGGTGAATGTCCTTATTGGCAAGTCTTGAGGCTAGCACAGCAGATGCCATAGGTTCCTTCCAGATCCCAAATAATGCTCACAAGAGGAGCTTTGAGGATGCTGCATTTTTTCCACAAAGAGTTCAATTTGAGAAAGAAAAAAGATTTGGTAGAAAACTCCAGGCCAACACTATTTGCAATCTCATTCTCATTTATTTGCTCAAGTAATCCCCAGTGCTTGATTTACGTAAGACTTGAATTAACTGTGTATTTATTCAGAGATCTTAAATTACACTGATGTGATGAGGTAAAATTGCAAGCTGATGCAGTTTCAAGGGTATTAACAAGCACAGGATGGTGAGGCAGATCCCACTTGCCACTGAGGAATCCAAGCCCATTCAAAGGTTTCTAGAGAAGGTGGTAAGAAGGATCTTTTACAAGTAGAACTGCTTTTCATGAAGCAAAATTTATCTTAGCACTGAGGTGATGTAGAGAGGTGCAGTACCTGTCAGAGACTTCTGAAGAAAATTAAAGCTACTTGCTTGATGCTGCTCTTGGTGAGCAGTCTTGGTTTGAGCTCAGACACTGAATGAAGCAAATTTTTGGATTTGAGCAATTTCTGAATAATGCATGGTACCAGGAATAAAATAAATTCAGATGAACAAGAAGCACGAAGCAGCTATGAACCTGATCTAATGGAAATTTTCTCTAAGTATGAAGGTGACTATAACTTCAAGCAGAAGTGCCATTAAAAAAGACAAACTGAAATTGCCACTGCTTCTGGTGTTAGCTGTTTCTGAAGTACTTCATGTTTTCCGTAGGTGCTTAGTGAATTCAGGCAATGAAAGCTAGCTATGAAGTTGTCACTGAATGGGATTTAGACCTGTTAAATGAAGAGGGAGGAAAATGCTAATGTAAGTCTATGGTTGATATGGGTGTAGAGTTGATGGGACCATTTGGAGGTCCACTGAAAGACAGAGTCTGAGACAAAATGCTCATAAATAAATGATTGGAAGTCCCAGTATTGAAATAAGATGCAGCAAAGAGGATATGGTTAGGAAAGAAAGCTATCTGGCCCATGAAGCTTGTGGAGATCATCATCTTGAAGAAGACGAGGCAAGAGGATTGGGGATGAAAACTGTAGCTGGTATAAAAAGGTCCGTCCGCTTTGGCTAAGTGGTGCCAGTGATGCATGCGGCAGAGCTGCTGGAGATTTGCACCACAGGTAAGGGAAACAAGGATACCCACGCAGTTAAAAATGGTTATGACAGGCACACAGGAGACTTAGAGGTGTTAAGAGATGGACAGGGCAGGTCTTGAAGTGAGTTGGGGTTCAGGAGCTACTGTGACTTCTGCGGGAGAAGCATTATCACAAGAGGGAGCTGTCCACCTGTATGAGATTGGCACCCCGGCAAGAGAAACAGTGCAGGGAAACAGCACCAGGGCTCTTAAACCCTGGCAGGGGCAGGAGGCAAGAGGTGCTCCGACAGTCAGGGACCACAGCAGCCTAGAGTGGAGGACATGGGCTGAGCCGGGCTAACAGAACTCATCCCCCAGGGCAGGCCACCCACACTGCACACTGCTAATTGCTCTTCTGGAAGTCAGCTCCTGCATGGCGCCAGTGCTATCAGTTAATTGCTATTTTGTTTTTCTGTAGGCTTTGCTGGGGAGGGAGAAAAAGGAGAGGTGGTTGGTCAAAGTCAGACAAGGTGCTAGTCAGAGGTTCATGTGACAAGGCAGCTGATCAGCAAGGCTCCGATGGTGAATGAAGTCGGTGTGTGTAAGTCGGCTGAGAGCAGTGTCTGAGCACATCAGGGCCCGGGTACCCAGCAGAGGGCATGTACACACACACACACAAACACACTCACACTCCTGCCTGTACCTCTGGGACATAATTTCTTAGATAATGAGCATATCAGTGCCCAAAACGGTGTAAGTGGCTACATGACAAAGCCAGAGGCACCAGGCATTCTGCTTGAATGGTTTGTGGTTTCTGTTACAGGGTCCAAAACTACCCTTCTGCTGAAATTCCACTTCAGATCAAGGTAATGGTTCAGAGGAACTAAGCAACATCCCTAAGCTCAGGTTTAAACACTGGCATCTGTATTTACAATGTATCGGGCAAACCAGCCTGTAACCTCTTCACAACCGCCTGTAACCTCTTCACACTGAGCTTAGTTTCACCTTCCAATTATTTATCCAAATGCTCATGTCTGATTTTGGTAGACACATTTTACCATAGTCTGAGACTGAGCTGAAAGCTTTGTTTCCTGTCAAGAATCTTGAGAGGATATTATATATCCAAGCAGTTTGCATCCATGGCAGGACATCTAAATGCCCTGCAGAAGACAAAAACAATGTATTTGTACCCTCCCTGGGCAGAGACAGTTCTTCCAGTGGATTCACTAAGATATGTAATGGATAGGGCTGTATATGTTTAATGATGGGTCAAGGCACAGAAGATAGGGCTGAAGAGAGAAAACCACTGCAGGCTGAAAAGTTAGAAGGCTTAAAATTACAGAAGAAAAGGGAGTAGTCTTGTCGACGGGAGAAATGGATGAAGATCATAGGCCTGGGCTCCTTGCCACAGGCTACTTGACCTCAGGCAAGTCTTCCGAGATCCCATTTCCCCTCCTACCCTTTGTCTACGTGGCTCCCAGGAGCTTCGAGGCAGGGTTGGTCTCAAGCACGGGAGTTACTGTACTTTATCACTTTATCTTGGTCATTTCTCCTAGGACATACCATAAAATAATTTCTTATATATATACATACATGCATATATAAAGCAACCTTCGAGATAGCGTAAGGAGCTAAAAAGGAATAAACAAAGAATGCTTTGGGAACATGTGGGAGGAACAGAGCTCACAGCTAGTTGTTAATCCACTTTCAGGACAAGGCTTCTCCTGAAGTTTAAAATAAATTTAAATTAAAAAAAAGAAAGAAAAAGAAAGAAAAGATAATTTCATCCCGAGCCAGCGGTCTGGCTCCAGCCTCAGCACCCGCCCGCCGTGACGCCGGCAGCGGAGCAACCCCCCCGCGGCCGCGGCCGGCGCGGGCAGCCCCGCTGCTGCGCTGCGCTGCGCTGCGCTGCCCCGGCGGCGTTTTTCTTTTTTTTTTTTTTTTTTTTTTTTTTTTTTTTTTTTTTTTTTTTTTTTTGCATGAAGATGGCGGCGCCTCTCGCCAGCAAGGCAGGGTCTGCCGGCACCACCAGCAAGCCTCCCTTCCCGGAGCTGGATTTCCGATCGGGAGCCAGGGTGGAGGAATTAAATAAACTCATCCAGGAATTCACCAAGCACGATCAGAGGGAGTACGACGACCAGCGAGCCCTGGAGATCCACACGGCCAAGGACTTCATCTTCTCCATGCTGGGTAGGGCAGGGACCGTGCGGGGCGGGGCGGGGGCGATGCCGGCCGGGGACCCCCGGGCAGGGCTCCCGGCGGTGCGGCACCAGCGGAGCCTTTCCCCGCGCCGCGGGCGCGCCGGCCTGGGGGGGGTTCCCGGTCGCAGGGCGGCTCCTACCCCCAGAAAACTAATTTTTCCTGTCCTATCCGACTAGCCTTTGGCAGCGATGTATTTATAAGCACAGAGGAAAGGCTGGGTCGCAGAGCTGACCGGTGCCCGAGATACACGCCGAGCCAGCAGGGCTGCAGGCGAGGCGAGTCCGACCCTTTATTGTTTTTACCCCCAACTGTAAAGACATAGGAAAAACAAATTTTAATTTTTTTTTTTTTCTGTACCGCTTATTTTGGTTATTAGACCGGTGGATGCTTGTACAGGAGCATCTCCCGAACTGCCTTTCTTGCTTAGGTTGCAAAACTCGCAGCGAGTGGAGCCAGTCAAATTGTGGCGGGGGAGTCTTCATCTGTGTGAAACTTTGAATCGCAGGCAGGGATCCTTAACCCAGGGTGAAGCATGTGCTGGCCCTTGCGGAAATCACCTGGGCTCTATCATGACTAAGGCTTCTTAAGAGTAACAGTAAAATGACTAACACCTCTGACTCTCCAGGTAGTCAGTTTCAGATAAATATTTACCGTGAATTAACTAAGAAATCACTCAGACGAATAAGAGCCTTCAGGATACAAAAGGATGCTCTTTAACATGCAGATTAGATGTTGGAATCAGTCATCCAGGTTTCAGTCATTGTCTTAAACATTCTCTCAAACATTTTTGTGTAAACAGCTGCTGTGGCCAGTGAATGGTTCTTTGTAGCTGAAAGGTGCACATACACCCTTAAAGCTTACTTGGCACAAACTAAGTGTATGGTCTACATGTACACTCCGAATAACCTACATCACTTTTCTCATCCAGAAACACAGAGCTGTCCTATTGCAATAATTATTATTTTCTGTCTGGAAGGATTGTTGCTATAATAGACCACTTCCTCTACAGCCATTAATGCACCTACAATGTGATGAGAATCTATCTGTCCCACTGGTTATCTTGTAAGGTACCTGGATCAGTATAATTGCCTGCTGTATGGGATTTGCACAATTTTATATGTGTATTGCATTTTCACCAAGGGCTGGACAGGATATAGCAGACTAAATTTAGCCTGAGAACAAGGACAACAAGTTGAAAAGTCAGTAGCGTGTATATTTATAGTTGCAGTTATAAATATTTTCCCCTTCCCAGTTAAACAACAACAAAAAAGACGTGGTAAAGCCACGGTTGCATCAAAGCCTGTAGGATTTTTGTTCTTAAAAACCTGATCTGGTGGAAGTCCTTCAGTATTATGGTCTGATGCATTTTTCAATCAGGGCTTTAAATAACTGGCTGAGGAAACATGGCTGGATGGGATGGAGCAAAGAAGAGTGGAGAGAGCTATAGCTGCTGTGTGGCTAGCAAATAGAGAAAGCTTTGTATGATCCTGTTTAAGCATTAATAGTCTTTGAAGCATACAGGGATCGCAGAATTTCTTCCTGCCTCATGTGGGAGAAGGCAACAGAGGAAAGACAGAAGAATAAACTGGAGCATGCCTTGTATTTCTGCAGATGCACCCTAATGCCTTGCTGTTGGTGAAACAGGGAGCCTTAGGCTGTTTATAAGTAATGCAAATTAATGTGGTTGTCTTTGTGAATATAATGACTGGGAGATGAGCATTCTTCATGTTTAAATGTATAGCTAAACCATTGGTTTCAACAAAAAAAACTTATTTCTGTCTAAGCTGTACCTGATAATTTTCGGCAAGTCTTGTTTCTGAATAAAAGAAGAGACTTGAGGACTGAGCCCAGGACAGAAATGGAGATGGGATGTCTGATTTGCCTGCATTAGAACTTGTGTTTGTGGATCGGATCCTTCTTAGCAAGAGAGGCTCTTAAATCTAAAAGGATTTAACTTATTAATAAATAGCTCTTTCCCCTGTGCCTGATCCCTCCCATACGTACTGCTCTTATCTCGTCGGGTGATGATAGGAAAATTAAACATAGCTTTCCTGATTTAATTACACTGGTGTGTAATTGGTGGATGAATGATAGGTGAGGAGACCTTGTGAAGATCCTCAGATGGTTGTACTCTGCATGGCTTGCCCTCTAGGTCAGACTTTGCTTTTAATTTGTATTAACTCTTTTTCATCTGTGTTGTCTTGCCCCGGCTATAAGTAACTGAACTCTGGGAGATCTAAAGAGTTGGACTGTGAGAAAATTAGGGAGAGGTACTACTTGTCGTGTTTTTGTCCAAAATCTTGTGCCCAAGCATTAGAAGAGGACTGCAAATGACTTACCTCTCTGGTGGGGGAAATGAGTATTTTCTGAATGTGGGTGGTTCCTGGACATTCACAGTCCCTTTCGCAGTCACCAAGACCATATGGTCTTGCCAACACCCTACACCAAACAACAGGTGTATTTGAGTGCCTTTGTTGGTAAATTCCTGTACTCACACTGAGCTATGCCTGATAAATACTTGTCTCTTTGATTCAGGTATAATTGAGCTTCAGAGGAGGGAGAGGCTGTAGGAACCAAGAAAAAGAGTGGAGAAAAAATAGTCTTGTGTGTTGGGCAGAGGGCTGGCTAAGAGAGGCTGAGAAACCAAGTCTCTACCTGCTAGTCATGAAAGGAGCGGACTACTTATTCCCCTGATGACTCAGTTTTGGGGGGTTTTGTGCTTAAAAAGTGATAAAGGAGTATTTTTATCAAATAATGATATTACAGTCAATGATATTTTGATTTTTAAAGTACTTGCTGCCATTGTGATGAGAGGTGCTTAGCAGTCATATTAAAAACCGTTTAAGGGTACCTGACCTAGAGAGTATTGTTCTTACAGTACAAGTACTTTCGGGAGATTCTTTAATAAACACTGCCTATCTCTTTCTGTTCAGCACCTAAGTAAAAAGTGCTTTAATGCACAGATGTGGTAGGCTTAAAAAAACCCATATATTTTGCTCTTGGGAACTAGAACATTGCAGATAAAGTAACTCCTTCAAATTTCTAGTGCTATTGCTGCCTCAAATCAGCTCATGTTGTTTGGAATACCGACTCTAGAATTTTATATAGTAACAAGAAAAAGGAACAAAGATATATGAATAAGTACACTATAGAGCTATATTCTCCACTCCAGGTACACACCAGGGTTCAGTCATCTAGAGCAGTTTTCAAGCTCTTTAGGTTGGTGTTTTGTTTCTGTTTCCTACTATGAGACTCCTCAGCAGAGCCAGAAGACATTTCTGAGGACATTTCATGCCATTCTCCTTCCTGAGAAATGAAATCAGGGAAAGGACTAGTTTAAATTGGCGCTAAAGTGGCGTTTTGGGGTTTTAAGGCCTCTAGTGTACCTTTTTGTCACTTCAGTTGTTACTTCTGTGGGAAGTGCCCACCAGGGCAGGCCATACTCTGAGCATCTGCAGCCAGCTGCAACTTAGAGCTGTTGACAAGACCTCTAGAGAGCTTGTCCCAGCACCTGATACAGGAGAGGTGGTGATCCTATTCTGAGATCATTCCCTAATTCTCTGGTGTCTGCTGTTGCTGCCCTGGGGGTGCTAGCAAGTGTTTGTGATAGAGGAAAGTCTCAGAGTGGAAGCAGGGCTGGCATCAGCTAATTTTTTCTGCTGCAAATACCAGATTCCCAAATGGAGTGAGCTACCCTGCTGAGCCCCTGCATCTGTAGCAGGGCTTCCAGCTGTTTCCTGGACTGATGGGCCCCTAAAATATGTGCTGTGAAGGTGCAGATTGCTGTGCTGGCAACACAGGTGTCCTCACAATAGCTTGCCTTTATCAGCAGCTTCTACAAGGAAAGAATTTTCCAGTTTCCTCCTGTACCTGAGGTCTGCGTAGCAAAACAGCATTGGCAGTGTGACTCTTGTGTGGGTTTGTGTAGCATTTTTTCCTCCCCTTCCCTACCTGCCATAACTTGCTGATAAAATCTATTGTAGATTAGATTTCAGGCATTGTTTGAAGTGTTACCTGTTTAGGTATGTGTCTAGGATACATCATGGAAATTCTCTGCTTCCTGTTGTAGTGTCAAGCTGATGGAATAGCAACAGGATTGGAGTGATCTCTTTAGGGTTAAGTCTTTTGTGTGTGTGCGCCTTCTCTCAAGAGAAGCCAATCATGATAGGAGCACACTGTACTCTGAGGCCTATGTTAATAAAGGCTCCCTGCTGGCATTCTCTGTGCTGCTGAATGCATAATGCACAGCTGTTAAAAACAACCTTACTCTATCACAGATTTCATTTCTGGCTTCACTTGTGTCTCCTCTCCCTGCAGACCACACGTTTCTGTATTTGCATTTGAGGCTGGGGGGATTTCTTGGTGGTTTCGTTTTTCTTAATTAGGGGACAGTGTACTAAACTGGTAAGGTAAGGCTACAGAGCATGGGTATTTTCTATTTGGTTGTACTTGTCAGAAATCAACCAATTTCATCTCACTGGGAATTAGTTAAAAAAGGTTTTGTAGCCTCCTCTGTCTCTTTGTTCAAAGGGATTGTTGGTCCATACATGTGTTATCAGTGAAAATAGATTGAAAATCTGTGCTTCAATTTGTTTTAAGGTGCTGGTATTTTACTTGCTTGACTACTGTTTTGAAACATTAGTCTGTGATGCAAAGTATTTAGTGTAATAGCTAGGAACATGTCCTGAGGGCACAAATTCTCATGGCAGGCTTGTCAGACTGCCCACCGCCTGTTCCTTCAGTCTGTGGAAATATTTGCAAAAGATTTGGGAGAATACTTGCCAAGCCCAATTATGCAATTATGTTTTAAGGGCAATTTTATAATTACAGTGGAGGATGGTAACCAGGATACAGGAATTGTTGAGGTTTTGACTTTTCCTTTTTTTTCCCCTATGTGATTTTGCGTGAATGGTAAAATATTCAGGGCAATTCTAGTTAGAAACCAGTTGTTCAACTTTCTTTTAAGCAGCTGGCTACTTTTATAGGTG